CATGCTGCCGTGGGGCATCGTGGGGAGCTCTGGTTCTTCAACACCAAGAGTAGAAAGATACAAGAAGAATTGGGAAAAAAAAAAAAAAGAACCCAATGCTGTGATGTTACTGAATGACAGCTGTAGAAGAAACATCAACCGGGCCATGGACTCGTCGCCTCGGTTAAAGTTCACTCCCAGCTCGGGCTCCTGCGGGAGAGAGGCAGGGCCAGCTACCAGGAAAGGCCTCAGCAGCCCCCCGCCGGCCCGCGGATGGCATCCTTCAGTCTTAACTGTCAGAACCCTCTACATGAGCCCCTTTAAATCAGAAAACTGTAGGTCTAATCGCCACCCAGCCTGGCCCATCTTGGTCCATTTTGCTGAAGCACAGAGGTGAGGATTGGGCAGGGTCCTGAGCTGGGCTCCACTGCGAGGCTGCAGGGAGGCTGGGGGAGGCCGGAGATGGGTACCAGGGCACGTGCAGAGCTAGCAGGAGGGCCCAGGCCTGTTCGGTACCCCCTTCCCGTGCACTTTCTCCTAGGCAGCGTGGGAAAGACCAGCTCGCAGACACACTATTTCGGGAAGTTTCTATTTCGAGGTTCCTGGTTGCCTTTATTAGATGGTAAGCTCCCCCAGGGTGGAAACCATGGCTACAATTTCCTGGCATCCCTTAGAAGGCCCTCGTGGGCCTTGGAGCTGAGCAGGTGTGCAGATGGGGGAAGTGAGTAAAGTCACACCTCCCTGACTCAGTGTCTGATGCCAGCCCAGCTTGGTGTGAGGAGGCAGGAAGCCCCAGCCTCAACGCCTCACCCTGCGCTGGGCCTCTTATAACAGCTGCTCCTGGCACCAAAAGCTTGTTGTGTGTTCAGCTCCACGCTGACCATGCCACCTGCACTTTCTCATTCATTCCTCATAACAGCCCTGGGAGAGAATCCGTGCTGATTCCCCCATACAAGGAAACAGAGGCCCAGAGAGGGCAGGCAGCTTGCCCAAAGCCACACAGCATATAGTAAAGATTCGAACCAGACACCGAAGCCTGAATTTTCTCCGATGCACCTTGCTAGCTGCTGTTTGGCCTCCAGCCTGTCATGGACCAAATCCCAGCTAAAGGCTGGAATTCAGGATCTGGGTCAGAGTTAGGGCATCTCCCAGGATGCAAGAAGAACTGGCTGAGTCAGTTCCGGAGAAAAGTCTGAAGAATGCTGGAAGTGCGGGTGTGGTGTGGGTGGGTGTCTGGACCCTGAACTTCCCAGAACCTCCCAGAACCTCCCCAGAGGCTTGGGGAACTCAGCCAAGATGGCGTCCAGCCAGGAAGCTCGGAGTCAGGGTTCTGGGCCTGGATTTCAAAGCCAGGACCGCTGTCTCTGGGGTAGGCACTCATTATGAATTTCAAAATAGCAAATAGAGAGAGATGGGGAGACAACCAGCCCAAACTAAAGCCCAGGAGGCCAGGAGAGAGGCCAAATTTTACATGGAAAAAATTGTGTTTCATTGCCTGTCTTTGTGCAAACACCATCCTTAGAGAGGAAGGCGTGGACCTGGGGACTGCAGCCTCGAGGACTGACCTTCCCTCTCCAACCCTGGGCTCCTGACCTGTGAAAGGAAGCATCACCATTGTCGGTGTTTCAGACTTCAGCTCAGACACTACAGAAGTGCTGGTGAAAATGCAGTTCCCTTCTGGGCCCAGGAATTTGCATTTAAAAATAAGCCCCCAGGTGATTCTGCTGCACTGGGACCCAGGTCTCGCTTGAATAATGGCTGGGCTAGAGGTGGCTGCTGAAATCCCAGCATCTGTGAGACAATTCTTTTCTCTTTCTATCTCCTTCTTCCATATGCTTTAAAAAATGTTCGCTTCTTCCCTGCCCTTTGTTTGTCATGGACGCCCCTAGGTTTTGCTTACAGCAGAAGGTCAAACCTGGATTTGCCAGAAGGCTCCCGGAATCTCCAACTGACAACGCTTCCAGGCCAAGGAATTTTTAATTCGTATTTTCTGTTTTTCTGGCGCTGCTAGGGGGCAGGGCTGGGTGCAGCTGCTCCGCCACCTGGTGGTCACACCCAGAACTGCAGTATTTTCAGCATGGCGCCCATCCCCCAAGAGTTCCCCAGCAGAAGTGGGAAGACAGGGACATTGGGGTGGGATGCAGGCAGCCTCAGATTATAGCCACTACGCCCTCCAGAGCGGCTTATTAAATTAATTCCTGTAAAGTGAACCTCTGGTTCTTATGGAATCAGAATGGCCATTGGAGTTGACTTTTCTAGCCAAGGGCTCCACTGCTTAAAGCCAAGGCCAAATTTGTCTGCCAAATGACCTTAGGCAGTTCACGTCCCTTCTCTGAACTCCAAGGTCCCTTCTCTGAATCTCTAAGGTGGACGCCTTCCACTTAAAGTAGTGACATTAAATGAGATGACGAGTGGCCCTGATGAAGGATCTTAGCCACCGTCAACATCACCGGCACCATGCTTGAACCCTTTTTCTTCCTTTTTTTTCTTTTCCAGTTGAAGTCACAGCATTTCAGATCCAGCTGGGCTCACTGGATTTGGCCCCTCCCTGCACAGCTGGAAGAACCTGAGGTCAGGAGAAGGTGAGGGTCTTTCCTGCGCTCAGGGCAGGACAGGGCAGGGCCTCAGGACCTCAGTCCAGTTTCAATGCTTTTGCAACCCACCCATTCAAAGAGGTTGATGATAAAACAGAAAGTCAGACAGTAAAATGTCCTCATAAATGTCCAATTATCTTCCTGTCTAGAGAACAAGCTCACCACCTTGGGGACGAGGGACAACAGGAAGAAAACCAGCTCTCACCTCCGGAGCTCCTTACTTCCTCCTTGAGGGCAGCACTTGGGAGATTTTTCCCCAAATAACACTGCAAGCTTGAGTCACTTCTTTGTTACCGTTGGAATTCCTCTTCAAGCCACTGCCCAGCAGCAGCTGAGATCTCCCAGGTCTTACACACTATAAAAGAGCATCTTTGTAAAGGCTCCTCAGTTCACCCATGTGCCTCTTTGGGAGGAGGGCAGATGACAGGAACTCTTAACTCCACCTTGTCCTTCCCTACAGCATGACTCCCACAGTTCCACACCCCCGAGGAACCCACAAAAATGCTTTTTTTCTATGTATTTCAGAAACACATCAACATTAATAACTAGTTGTCTTTAATTGAGACGTTGTATGCACACGTGGCAAACAACTCAATGGCCCAGAAGTACACAAATTGACATGCAAAGGTCCTCTCCCCCCCCTCCACTTGCCTGGAGGCACCTGCCACCAACCATGTGTATTCTTCCAGAAAAATCTTAGAGCATCTTCAAATACGTGCACTAAGATTAAAATTTTTTTTTAGATTCTTCCTTTTTTTTTTTTTTGGTTGGGGGAGGCAATTAGGTTTATTTTTTTACTTTTTAGAGGAGGTACTGGGGATTGAACCCAGGACCTCATACATGCTAAGCATGCACTCTACCACTTGTTTTGTACCCTCCCCCCTTAATTTGTTGAATAGGTAGTGAATTCACATGGTTCAAAGCAGAAAATGTGAAAAAGGTTTACAAAAAAAGCTTCCTTCTCCTATCCCCCCTTCCCACCGCCTCCACTGAGCTCTCACTTGTCACCTCCATTCCCAGGTGACCGCTTTTAATTTCTCATGCATCCTTTCAGATTTTCTTCCTAAAAACATAAACAAGCAAATGTGCATTCTTATTTTGCTCCCTTTTATGCAGAAGGTAATTTTGCTCTCTGGGTTTATTTCCCCCTAGTATTATACCTTGTGCATCCATTAGCATAGTCCTTCATTTTTACAGTTGCATAGTATTCTATTCCACTGTGTGGATTTCCACAATTTACCTAACTGGCTTCCTATTGATGGGCAGTTGGATGGCAATATTTTGATGTTTCAAAAAATGTTGAAATGAATAACATTGCACATATATGCTTTTGAATGTGTGCTACTGTATCTGTAGGATAAAATTCCTGAAGTGGGATGGTGGAATTGAAGTGTCAATGAGCTGGTGGCCTTGAGAAGCAGCCCCGTTGCGCTCCCCAGGGACATACTCATTCACACTGCCCCCTGCTCCTTAATACACTGCGCTGTGACTACACTTGTAGGGTTTTGCCAACATCATGGGTGACGAATAGCATGTCAATGCAGCTTTATTTTGTGTTCCTTTTCTTATGAGTGAGTTTGAGCATCTTTTAATATATTTAAGATGTATTAGTATTTCTTTCCTATGAACTGTTTCCTTATAGCCTTAGTCTATTTTTTGGCTGCGGTCTGTGGCTCCCTGACCAATTTGTACAAGCTCCTTCTATGTTAGGGAGTTGGCTCTTTGCCTGTGATAAAAGCTGTGAATATTTTTCCGGTGACTTTCACCATGCTGTTGTTATTGATCTTGTAGCACGTAGAGGTTTTGTTTTTTTTTTGGTAATCTTTTCTTCTTTGACTTTTGGATTTTTGCATCATAATCAGAAAGGCCTCCTCCACTGCATGGCGACACAGGAAGCCTTTCCCGGTTTGCCTCCGTAAGTCAACAAGGCGGCTGAGTTTGTCACATGCCTTAGCAGCATCTGTGGGGCTGACGTCTGACTTTTCTTGTTAAATTGATGAATAGGATGAATTATATTAATAAATTTCCTGAATTATATGAAGGAGTTTTCCAAAGCATGCTGAACTATCCTTTCATTCTGGGAGTCGACCTGCTTAGACAAGGTGTATTATTCCTTCAATGCGCTGCTACATTCTGCTTATTCATGTTTTAGTTAGTTTTCCATGAATTTGCATATGTGGGACTTGGCTGTGGTCTCCTCCCTCCCTCCCTTCCTACAATCCTTGTTAGATTTTGGTATCAATGCGCTAGTCACTTCACTGAAAATGCTCTGGCCGCACTGTCCCACGCCCTGCCTCAGTTTACACATTGGAGGTCTTTTCTTCCACCCTCTGCAGGTCTGAACCTGTGATGGTTTAGCCCGCCTGGTCCTTGATCTACAGGAAGGCTAGGAAAGAAGAGGCTCTGGGACCAGGGAGGAGAGACGGAGGAGGAGGGCGTGGGCTGAGCCAGCAGTTCCCAGGAGGGAGGATTTGTCCTGACGGTCCCACGTTTGAGCCTCATTTCCTCAGCTGGGCCCGGGCTGCCAAGTGCCCGTGGTCAGAGGTTGTTTCCTCTCCAGCGGACCCTCGTCACTGCGTCCCCACTTGTGCTTCGACCGGATGCAAGGACCATGGTGTCGGGAAACTGATGCAATTGTCCTGTAACCCTCAGCCTTGTCAAAGCAGGTGGCCCAGTGCTGAATTTTCCCTCAGCCCCTTGCTCTTTGCCTTCTGTTGATTTCCTTGGGTTTTGTGGGGAAGGGGTCCACAGCCTTCTTTTCTGATAGCTTCTGATGGCATCTGCTGCAGGTACCAGAGGGCTTTCTCTGGCCGCATGGAGAAATTCAGAAGCTTCAGAGGCATAACATCCCCCAGAGCAGCCTCCAGCCCATGGCTGACCTGCGGAAGCCAGTGGGTCCACCCCCAGCCCCCGGGGCCAGTGCCACAATGGTGGCCAGCTTGATACCCTCCTCCTTTTCTTTCCTGTCTCACTTCCCCTCCTGAGATCACCTCCAGATAAACATCTACACATAGACCTTTGGAGGAACCCAACCTCAAGCAGGGGGTCCCAACCCTCTTTTGTGAGGTGTGACTGTGGTTAACAGGGCCCCTGGGATGGCGTGTGGGCACCGGGCTGATCCCTCGGTCACGCTCCAGATAACTGCGGAGGTGGGGGACCAATGAACAGAGACGGCTCAGAGCTGTTTGATGATTCCCTCAGGCCTCACAGGAATGTCACGGGGAGGTGAGCAAAACCCAGGCATCCGACCCAGAGCCTCACTCCCAGTTCCTGCTGCTGTGGGTCCCCCTCTAAGCATTTGCCAATATATATAGATAGAAGGGACCCCAGGACGGAGACAGAGACAGAAGGAGCCTGAGATGCCTCTCTTGCCACAGAGGAGAAAAGGTTCAGAGATGTGCGGAGCTGGCCCTGGGTGGAGGGGTGATGGAGCGGGGTCCAGAATCCAGTTGTCCCCACTCTGTTCCCTCCACACTGCTGGGGGCCACTGGAGAGTGACCGTGCAGTTATGGGTCACCTGAGCGCTTCCTGCCTGGACTGACCCACTCCCGGCTGTTACCAGACTCACTCCTGCATTTGTTCCAGCGGGGCTGAGATTCGTCTCACTGTACATCATAGTGGGCTGGATGGTGGCCCTAAATGATGTGCCCATCCTACGCTCCAGGCCTGTGAATGTGACCTTATTTGGCAAAAGGGTCTTTGCAGATGTGATGAAGTTAAGGATCTAAAGATGAGAACATCCAACATCCTGGGTTACCCAGGGTCCTAAATCCAATGACAAGTGACCTTTTAAGAGATGCACAGGGAGAAGAGAGGCAGGTCCCGGGAAGACAGAGGCAGAGATCGGAATGATGCAGCCACAAGCCCAGGAGGGCCTGGAGCCCCAGAAAGGAAGACACATGGAGAGACAGTCCCCTAGAGCCTGTGGAGGGTGTGGCTCTGCAGACCCCCTGATTTTGGGCTTCTGGCCTCCAGAGCTATGAGAGAATAAATGTCTACTGCTGTTAACCACCTGGTTTGTGATACTTGGTTCCTGAAGCCCCAGGAAATACTCACACATTTATTTATTCCACTTGGTTCTTCAAATTGTTTTCAAGCACTTTCCGTCCACCTACCAAGACTCAGATCCCAAAGGCTGTGAGAGAATCCATCATTGCTTTAGCTCCACAAATACATATTAAACACCTACCAGACGTCAGGCTCCACACTGGGCCCTGGGCCCCAAGGTGAGTCAGCAAGGAGGTACGTCCAGTGGGGAGACAGAGGTAAAGTCATCATGACACAGTCTGGTCACACAGTGTCAGTGGGACCTGACACCATACACAGCGGGACAAAGCAGAAGACATTAACTCTGTGTGTGTGTGTGTGTGTGTGTGTGTGTTGTGTGTGTATGTCTGTGTGTGTGTGTGGAGAATGGGGGCTCAGGAGGAACTGAGAGAGGGCACAGGTCTGAGGTAGGGAGGGGAGGCGGGTGGGTATTTAAGGAAGGAGAATGGCACGTGCAAAGGTCCTGAGGCTGGGGGAGGAGAGGTAGAAAGAGAGAGTCTGGGCCCCAGGAGAACATGTAGGGGTAGAAGGTAACAGGACTGGAGTAGGTGGGGGCCCTGAGCACAGAGCCTATCTGCTGGCCCTACCCCCAACGGTGATGAGAAGGTTTGAGCAAAGGAGCATCAATTATGTTCACAGTTTTAAGAGATCTTCTTGGCCAGTGTGGAGATGGATTTAGACAAAAAGGGGCTAAAAAGAGGGAAAGCAGCAAGAGGCTTTTGCCAGGCCCCATACCAGGCCTGGGCTGAGGATGGTGAGTGTAGTTTCCATAAACATCAAAGAGGTAACAACACGAACCACCCACAGGATGACTTACAACTTCTGCGCAGATAAATATTATCAGGCACAACCCTTCTGAAGGTCTTGACGGCAGGCACAGAGCATCAGGATTCTGAAGCGTCTCTTTTCGGAAATGGGGCAGCATCCTGCCCTCCAACCCCCGCAGACTGAGTCTGTCTTGGCCACATGCTGGATTAACATTTAAACCTATTAACCGAGAATCTGCAGCCCTCCCCACGTGCACATCTTCTGCCTTGAAAGGGGCCCCCGAAGCCCCGATGGGTCCAACCCTTCCACCACCTTGAAGGGAATCTCTAAGAGAGGCTTTGTTATTTACACCATTGCGTCCTCATCAAAGCATAAGCTCCTTGGGAATGGGAATCTTGCCTCATCCTTAAACTCCCCAGCCTGCTTGTGCACTGGAGGCGCCTGCTGGGTGTTTGCTGCATGAAGGAAAAAGTGTTGTCAGGAAGTGCGCTTGCAGAGTGCCGCCCCGTCAACTTTTATTCTCTGCCTCATCAGGCAATGGCGCAGGAGACTGGGCAGCACGTGAAGACAATGCAACGTGCTGCCCCTGCCAGCGCAGGGCTAGAATGTGCTCTTTGCACAGAGAGCCAAAGAGACAGACACCTGGGGACTTGCGTTCCCCACCCCCTCTCCCATTCTGCCCTTGGCAGCAGGCAGAGCTCAAACTCTCCTTTGCGCTGGTTTCAACCCAGCTACAGAGGGACCTCACTCAGTCACAACCTCCTCGGCCACGGAGCCTGCCATTAAGGAACTTGCTGGGTGACATCACCCAGGGGATGCAAGGGTCACACGGGTCTCCTGATCCTTGTATCTGGTTCCCCGGGGATGAAGGTGGGTGTAGGGTTCAAGGTGACTGGCAGAGTACTCCTTTATCTTCCCTCCCCAAGTCCAAGTGGATTCAGAGAGCTGAGAATAGGCAAAGGAAGACAGGAACACACTGAAGATACAAAGATCATGGGGCAGACAGACAAGGAAACCCCCCAGGAAGAAAGACGCAGCACCCCACACAGGAGGAAAACAAGGGGCTTTGCAGGAGTGGAATAGCACCAGGTGGGAGGCTGTGGGGGAGGGAAGGAGCAGACCAAGGGCATGTGGGTAATTAACGGACGGGGCATCAGTCATGTCAGTCCCCATCCCCTTAGCCACCGACTCCAGTGTTCCCCCAGGGCCAAAGGCTCAAGTACAGGTAAAGGGTGCTCTGAAACGGGGTGCTAGACCCAGAAAGCAAGGGCAGTACCCCAGCACGGTGAGGGCCCCACATCAGAACGGAGCCCTTTGCTAAGAAATTCACATCTGCTGACTCCACTTGGCCACAGGCCTGGACTGCTGGCCCCCACCTCACAGCGACCACGGCCAGGGCTCTTACAATCGGAGATTTCACTCACGGCTAGCTGGCAGGGAGTCCCACTTGGCTTGAGGAAGGATTTCCAGCAACCAATGATTTTGTCCAGACCCCCTTCATCTACAAATACGAATAGACAACCAAGATATGCCAACACTAAGGAATTCTAGTGCACTGAATGAGAGGCACCAGGTCAGCAAACAAAAGAACCCACTCAGGAGGTGAGTGAGGGAATAAAGTAAGCAGAAGAAAAAAATTAAAGTAACTATAGTTGATATTTTTGGAGTGAGAGGACATCTGTTTTTTAAAAACAGGCTGCTCTGAAAAGGAAACATACTCAGCATCTTGGAAATTGCAAATATGACTGACTAATTCTGAAACCATCAACGAACAAGTTGAACAGGGAAGTGGATGCAGTGACCCGGAGGCTCGAGCTAAGGGAATTTCCCAAAATATAGTGCAGAAGGGCAAAAAGATGAAAAATATGAACAAACAGTTACAAGATGTGGAAGTTAGGGTTTTCAACATCTAACAGATGCTGGAGGAAACGCTGAATGTAGCAGCTGAAATAATAGGAAAAAATTAGAGGAGAAAATATCTCTGAGCTGAATGCTTTGGACTGCTGAGTAAGAATAATGAAAAAAATGACACACACTTGGTGAAATGTCTAAACTCCAAGAACAGAGATGGGTGTACACATTAAGTTCCCACCCTGACTCTTGCAATATATAGGTGACTTGGCCTTCGTTTATTATTTCAGTGGCAAACCTTTATCGAAGATCTGAGCACTATGCCAATTACAGGTGTCCCTGCTTTTCAAAAGTTAGCTTTATACCATTTGACTTTTATAAAGACCTACGTTAGCCCCTGCTTTCATTAACTGAAAGAAATCCGAAGAGGATTTTTCGCTTTTAGGGAAAAAAGTGAAAATGGTGATGAGCTGTTTTTGTTTGTTTGTTTTGCAGCAAGCCCAGATAGAGGCAGCACCGCACCCCCGGCAGCGAGCGTGGCACCGCCAAGTTCCTTCCCCGGAACCACACCCAGAATCTCACAGATTCGTAGGAACGCTCTACTTTCGCATAGCGGGGGAAACCTGTACTATGGATGTAAAGGTGAAAACTCAGGCACAACTCAATCTCACAAAGCTTCCAGTCCAGGGGGAACAGACAAGAATAGGTAGCATACCACAGCGGTTAAGAACAGGGAGGCTCTGCAATCTGAATCCAGCCCTGCCAGCTCAGAGACGCTGGCAAGTGACTTAATCTCTCTGTGCCTCAGTTTCCTTCCCTGCAAAATGGGAATTACATTAACAGTTTCTATCTCACAGGCTGTGTTGAGGCCACAGGTAAAGCACTTAGAACAGCAACTTGCATGCAGTAAAAGTGAACACCATACGCGTATTTGACAAAGACAGAAAGGCAGTGATAAATGCTAAAGATCAGAGGTATGGAATCATAAAGGAGGTGGCTGACCCTCCTTGTGGGATCCAGGGGCCCTGAAGGTGAGTGGGAGTTGCCAGGCCAGGCCCGGGCACAGTCTTGCTCGAAGGAGGTTTCAGGCCCAGGTTCACTTAAGCAAGCGCTGGCGCCTCCTCCTGGAGACCAGGTCCTCGCGGTCCACCTCACTCATGTAAAGACATCAGTCTGCTTCCGGGGGCCCTGGGCTTGTCACATCCTGTCTGGGTGATGCTGACGAGGATGGCAGTGGCACCAGTGCCCGGAGGAAGCAGCCCTGGCTCTCTGCTTCACATCTCATTAGCTATTTCTGCTCATCCACAGCCTGATTTCTTTTCAGCGCATCACAACTCAGCCCCAAGGCCAAGGGCCAGGGCCAATTTATGGGTAAGGAGGGTCCTGACAGATGAAGCGAGTGGGAGAGGTGGGCTGTTAGATTCATCTGGAATCATGGCAAGGGAGGTGGCCGTGAGATGGCCTGCCTCTCGGACTCTCAGCAGAAACATAAAGGGAGGCAGAGTATCCAGGCACAGGCAGCCAGGAGAAGGGGCCCTAGGCCAAGTTCTCCCAGCAGGGCCTGTCCTCAGGGCCACAGGATCGGGGGTGGTGGGGAAGTGCCATCTCTGGGCAAGATCTCGGGGAGGTGGTGAGGCTTAAATCTGGATCTCTGTGAGGTCCCAGGAGAAGGATAAACACAGGCTGACTTGACAATTCTCTTCTTTTCTGGAAGGGTTCCGCTTCCTGCTTCTGGAACAATGGATACAGGCCAATGTGATTCCTGAGGGGCCAGACTTGTGGTCAGGGGCCTGCAGCCCAGGCTCTGAGGCTCTGGGCTAACCCAGGGACAGGTGAGTCTCATGATGGATGGATGATCCCAGGCCCCCTGTTAGCAATCCCCCAGTGCCCTGGGTCATGATTGTAGCCCCTCAAGGCTTAAAATGCCAGGCAGACCATGACCTGAGCCTAGGGAAAGAGCTAGACCCCCCAGGGGCTGTACAGAGACTGAGGGCAGGATTTCCCAATCCACAGGGACTCTCTGTGGCCCCCTGGGAGCTCCCCCACTCTGTGATTTTGTCACCAGGACCTCCTCCTTTTCTCCCCCCTAGGGTCTCACTCACTGTCCTCCAGGTCCTGGATGTTGTCTGGCAGTGGAAGCAATTTCAAGAAGGAGAAAAGGCCCTTGGCGGGGGCCATACCAGGAAGGACGTGGGAGATGATGTGCGGGACGGAGGTAAAGTGTCTCCTGGGACCTTCAGGACTCAGGCCAGGCTGCTCCCCAGGCCAGGGGACATCTGGTCCACTCCCCACAGTGGGAAAGAGGAACATTCTCCAACACCACCTCCCGGAGGGGAGCCTGCCAGTGCCTGTTTCATGCTGCAGTGACTGGCACTCCCCTAAGTCTGCCCTGGAAGGAAAAGGACTGCCACTCTCAGTGCTGTCAGCTTTCTCCAACCAGGGGACACCAATCAAGGAGAAGTGACTGTAGTCTAAAGAAAGAACTTCCACCCCAAAGACTTCATGTCTCCCTCAGTCCCCAAAACGCAGGTCCCCTTGATGCTGCGGCCCCAGTGCCCCTCTGCGGTAAGCGAAGATGCAGCTCTGTGGGGCCACGAGGCAGCTAGCCACAGCAAGGCCTGGCTAAAGGTCTGAGATTCTGCAGAGCACCTTCTGCCCAGAAATGCCTGGGAACCAAACTGCTGTGTAGACACTGAGCCGCTGAGTATGAGGGCTAGGAAGCCAGGACCCCATGAAAGTTCACAGCACAGACTATGGAGCCAACCAACCTGGGTTCAAACCCCAGCTCTGACCTGTGGGCAGTTAGTGAACCTCCCTGTGCCTCAGTTTCCTCATCTGTAAAATGGGGACAATAGTACTGATCTCCTAGTGTGTAAGGATGAAATGAGATCATATTAGCAAAGCACTTAGAAAAATAAAGTAAGTATTAAATACAAATATAAAGTAAATATATAAACATAAATGTATAGAGTAAATATAAATATTAACAAAGCCCTTAGAACCTAGCCACACAGAAAAGCCATGTACATATTTAATAAAGAAATACTTGTTTCAGGTTTCCGAATCCCCCAGGGCGAGGCTCAAGGCATCAGAAAAGCCCGAGAAGAAGACACGGAAAGAAAATGATGAGCTTCTGACCCAGCAGGCCACCATCATCTTGCGTCGGAGCGCTGTTTTTTCAAACCTCCATCATTTATGTCTTCCTGACTTCTGTCGCATCCTCAGTTCACTTGTACTATTATTTATTCATGCTTTTCTTTCACTCAACCGACCTCTAAATAATTTATCTTCTGTGGGGTGTTTGTCAACGGCCATAACTGGAAAACCAGTGTCACTTGTCATAAAATAGAAGGAAACTGTAAAAACACATCCTGTGGAAACAAAACAAATAGTAGGATGTTTTTGCTGGATCCCTTCGCCTGCCAAGGGCTCTGAGCTCTCTCTTGGTTTTTAGGGATAAAAACATCAGCAAGGGTTAAGAAGATTCTCCCGTGCGCCCATCAAGGGGCTAAAAGAGAAATGACCTGGGAACCAACTACTTAACTCGCGAAGGCTGGGATTTAAGCCCTTGGGACACCTCCTAGAATGAGCCTGCCCCGCGGGGCGGGGCCCGCCTCGTGGGGCGCTCAGCCGGGCGCAGAGGAGAGGGGGGCTTAGGGGCGGGGCTTTCATAGGCGCCGCAGCCAGATGCACGCGGGCGGTGGCCCAGACGAGGGGAGCCGGGAGGAGGTGGGGCGGCCTCACCTCAGGGCTGGGTTTGTCTAACTTGGGGCCCTTTGGCGGCTGCAGACCCAGCCTCCTGCTGCCTTTGGGCAAGAGGAACACAGGAGCTCAGGGTCTCCGTGGAGGACTTGATAAAACAGCTGGGCTCCCTCTTGGGACCTGCTTAACACTCCAGGATAAGAAGTCATTGAGCGCCCAAGGCCACTCCAGTCGCTTCGTGGCCACGGCCAGCACGGAGCAGACCCGCGACGCCCAGACTCCTCGCTGCTCGCAACACACGTCAACCTGGCTCTACCCCTGGGCATCACAAGCCATCCTTCTCCACCAAGTAGGACAACCAGACGTGAACTGCTACCCGTTAGCCACCTCGGAGAGGAGGGAGGGGCTGAGACCCTGAAACAGCAGTTGCTGCTCTGGGCGGTGGCGGCCCCACCTGCCCTGCGCACTCACCTGGGCGCCCAGGCAGTGAGGAGCGCGCTGGCTCCGCCCGGGAGCAGGTCCAGCGCCCTGGCGACACCGCGGCTGCTTTGCCGGCTTGTGTGTCGCTTCCCACTGCCTGCAGGGCCCTGGAGGAGGCCAAACCTGCGGGCCGGTGCAGAGAATCTGCCTGGGGTGAGACGGCCTCCGGGCGCCCCAGCACCACAAACCACACAGAAAGGGAGGAGCACGCACCAGGCCAGCCCGGGGCACGGTGGATCGTGAGAGGCTGAATGTACAAACCGACCAAGGCCAGACCGCATATAAATACAGAACTCTGTGAGAGCTGCAGCAAACTAGCCCCGGCAGCCACACAGCAGCCTCTGCAGCATCAGCATCAAATGGCCAGGACTGATCAGTAACTGCCAGCAGCCCTAATTTTTCTCCACTCCAATTTAGGACTAACCAGAGAAAGCCAAATCTGCTCCCCTTGACCAATCACCCTCTTTCTGATTAGCCCACCTCCAGCTTCCCCATGCTGACAAACTCTAATCCAGGCATACCTGACACCTCCCGATTTTCTACTGCAAAGCACCTGTGGAGGGAAGCAGGTGGTGTGAGACTCAGGGAGCCACAAGGGCTCACAAGCCCCCAGATCTGTGCCCTGGGTAGGGCCCTGAGGTCCCCCCACGGTCCTCACCCCTTGGGAGCAAGCAGAATGTTTGGAATGAACTCTATACCCATTCATTCATTCAATGAACATTTCCTGGGCACCTGTTGTGTAACAGCCTGAGAATATGCTCCTAAACCCCTGCCTCACGGAACCTCCACTCCAACAGAGGAAGAGACAGCCAACATGAAAATACAGAATGGGGGGCAGAGGATGATACAGCAGAAGAGGATTGAGGTGGGCAGGGAATTCCTCTAACTCAAGTGGTGTGGGAAAGCCTCTCTGAGGGGTAGCTATGGCTTTCTTCCTCTTGGTTTCGGGTAACTCGGGAGAACTAGGGGGCTTTACCCCTCTGTAGCTGTGCGGCAGCCCCTCTCCCCTCCCCTAGAGCTGGCAGCCTTTCCTTTCCACTGTCCAGCACAGCACTGGCGTTGCCTCAGAGCCCCCATCAGCCATGCACTTGGTTCCTGAAGCACAGGAAAGATAGACGGTCAGCTGGCATCAACCCATGGGGACAAGGAGAGTGCGTGAGGCTGCAGCCCTATCAGGAACCAGATGCTTTGGGGGACCCCATGGTTGGTTCAGGACTGTGAGCAGGGGTGATACGAAACACTGCAAAATATCAGCTCTAATGTGTGTTTGCTGTCTTACTGCCCATAAGAAAAGGAATATGGCTCAGCTTTGGAAAGAGAACTAGGTGGAATCTCGCTTAGTCTCCATGTGACATGAGGTCAATGATTTAACCTCTTTACTAAGCCTCACATTTAGACCCTGGAAACTGGGATGCAAAAACCTCTTACGGGGCTGTTGAGAAGTTTTCACAGGGCCCGGAGCATAGAGCCTGGTGCTGGAAAACCCCCAGTAACTGACAGTGAACACTACTGGCATCCAGCAAGTCCAGGGGTTTAAGAGGTGGGCAGAGTTTGTTCCCAATGAGGAAACTGAGGCTTGAGAGCTTAATGTGGCCCCATGGAGACCTGGAGCAGGGCTCTGTGAGTCTTTTTCCAGCTCACCTCCCAACCTGTCCAGGGGTCTGTCCTGTTCTGGGTAGCAGCCCCCCAGAAAAGGCTCTGCTTCTGCCTCTTCTGCCTGCACTCAGCCTTCCATGGATTTGTCTATGTGTGTATGTATTATATATTTTTTCTTCCTTTTTATACAAATTGTAGCCCCTGTCCCATTCCACTACCAATAATTCTTGGAACTCATTCTACATCAGTACATATAGAGCTTCCTGATTCTTCTTTAAGCTCAAACACTATCCCACTGTATGGATGTATGCAATTTATTTCCCGTAAGCGAGTATATTGGTAGGAGACTCCCAGAAGATGAGTGGCCAACTTGGAGGGCGTGTGTGTATGTAATTCTGAAGCTGTTGCTATTGGAATAGATTATCTGCCTCCCTCACGATCAGTGTGGCAGGTTTTCACACTTGTGGTCTTGACAGGGGAAATATGGTATTTCAGTGTTCTTTTAACACGCGCCCCGCTTATGATGAGTGAGCATCTTTCACGTGTTCAACAGTCATTTGCAATTCATTTCTGCAATTCATTCCTCTCCCCCAATTAGGCTGTCATTTTCTCATTGATTTGTAAATGCTCTTTATATTCTAGGGAAATTAGCCCTTGTCTGTTATGTGAGTTACAGATTTTCTCCCCAGTCTGTCATTCAGAACAGCACTTCAAACCTCTGCTAAAGACCATACCTTATGCTCTCTCTCTTTTTTTTCTAACTTTTTTTTTTATGGAGGTACTAGGGATTGAACCCAGGACCCTGTGCATGCTAAGCAGGCACTCTACCACTGAGTATACCCACTCTTTCTTTTAAAAATATTCCCACAGCATCTCACACAGTTCTTTGCCCATGGTAGGTAATCAATAATTTCTTGTCGATTACATTAGTGGTGTAAAACCTTTCTTCACTCATCATCTTCATGAAATAAAAATTGTAAAGCATGATTCCCACCATTTCATGTTTATTTAGTTGTAAATATGTACTTAGACTCCCAGTCCAAGATAGCAAAGCTAATACAAAGATAACTTTTAAAGAAATAAGCTACAAATAAATATAAGTGGGGGAGTTCTGACATTTCTTCCCTTACCTCAACAGGTTACCTTGCACCTCCCCTAGAAGCAGACAACTCCCCTCTGGAGACCTCTGGATCACCGCATTTCCAGTGAACTTCAGCTTAACTGTGACATGAAGTCTGGCTTGTCACCCCTAGTCTAACACCAAGCATTTCTGAGCTGTCACAGGAACCAGACCACAGCTGCCAAGAGTACAGGAAGGGGAGTGGAGGTGGTGAGGTGTGGGAGGTGCCAGTCTGGGGTACAGTGGCCCAGGGGACCCCATAGTATGATGCCCACCGGTAGTGACAGGTGGTGACGGCCACCACTATGGTTCATGCCCAGTTTGCAATCCACTCCGCTGCCACAAGGAAGCCGGCAGGGGAGGGCTGCTTTAGGGACAAGTGGGCAAGAAAGAGACCCACAGCCAGGCCCCCGGGTTGTGCTGCCTGCAGACTTACAGAGAGGCTGGGAGTTCGTTATCACACTAGCCACACCCACTGACAATGGTGCCATTGTCAAGTTTGGGAACCCTACACTGATGCCTGGAGCAGATGCTGAGATGTTCTCCACTAAATGGTGAGATATCAGCAGCTTACTAGGGAAGATGATGGACTGAAATCTCCCCAGGGCCCCCTACTTGGTTCAAAGGGTCAGGAGGGCCATGGGGCCCCGGAGCAGAGTTGTAGCAACTGGGGAGCCAAGAGCAAGGACATACTCCACGCAGCTGTGCCAGCATCCTCTTGCTGCTGTGACAGTGACCACCAAGGTGGTGGCTTAAAATCACACACTTCTTCTCTGACAGTCTGGAGTCCAAAGGTCCACATTTAGTGTCTCCCTGGGTAGAAATCAGGGTGACAGCAGGGACTTGCTCCTTCCAGGGGCTCATGGGGAGAATCTGTTTCCTCACCTCTCCCAGTTTCCAGAGCTGTATTCCTCGTGCTCGGGAGCGTAGCTTCCTGCTTCAGTGCTCGTGTTGCCACCTCCTTGCATCCAATCTCCCTCTGCTTCTCTCTTACAACGACCTTTGGGGTGACATCCAGGGCCCACCTGGATAATCCGGGATAATCTTCCTTAATCACAAAACCCTGAATTTAATCACATCTGCAAAAGTCTCTTTTGCCCTAACATTCGCAGGTTCCAGAGATTAGGAACTGAGTCTCTGGGGGGCATTGTGCTGTGCACCACAGAGGACAACGCCAAGCAGACAAAGGGCTCCAGAGACCAGGGGGTGTCAGGGGACGTCCAGGCTCATTTCTCCCAGAGGCTGCGAGGCGCAGGGGCTGAGACCTCCAATGACCCCCAGGTCCCTGCTGTAGCCCAGTGACTGCTTTGGGGGAGTGCCTCCCAGCTGGGGACGGGAAGAGGAAGACAGACAGGAGCCTGGGTCCAGGGCTCACATCACCCCCGCCATGGGCACCACCTGCCAGGTCTCTTGTCCCATTTGTCCAGGGCGTTGGCTGGACAGGTGGCTGCTGAGTCATTCTCCCTCCAGCCTCCTTCTGGTCCCAATCCAAGGATTTTTTTTCTGGCATTTCTGAGGGCAGCTTTGGGACAGAGAAAAGACTTTTCAGGTTGTTTCCAGTTTTTAGGGCCTAATTCTTTGCTGAGCTTTTAAATGCAATTTACAAGTCTTATTCTATGAATAGATCCAGCCAATTTTAACAATCATTTTAAAGACGAACTTTGATTAATGTTTGTATCATCTACGTACTTAGTTAATTAAACTCCTTTAAACATTTTAAGCTGCAATCAAAGTGTATTATATTCCATTTTCTAAGTTTTTCAATTATCTGACTAATGAATCTTCCCAAGTCCTTAAGTGATCCTTATCAATCAAATATATTAAACTTATAATTACAGTGATTTTTAAATATTCAAAAACTGTTTACCAACTTAGTGAGATTTCAACTTATAGTCACAGGTCAAAACCAGCGCCTCAAGAACACGTTTAAAGTTAGAATCAGCGGCTAGGGGGCAGAGCTCAGTGGTGGAGCTCACACACATAAGGTCCTGGGTTTAATCTTCAGTACCTCCATTGACAAAAACAGGGAACATTTTTTTAAAAATTAGAACCACAAGTTGGAGGTTAACACTCAAATACTCCCAATGTGCTTAAACTTTCTAAGTTCTTAAAATGCCAATGCTACAAAGTAGATTTCTGAGCTTAACACAAAAGGATCAATGCTATAGTTTTGATTTATTTCATCGTCATTAGACTCAATTCTAAATTTCCTTGAGTTAAAAGCGTTCCCAAGCAGATTTGGGATTTCCTTCTCAAGTGCATCGTTCTCAGTTAGATGAGGGTTCAACACACAACTGGTGCAGGACGAGTCAATTCTGACATGAACTTTCTTTCCATATTGTGACTAGTCCACACTACCTCTCTAGTCTGCCGAGGAGGACATTCAGGTTGTTTCCAGTTTGGGGCTCTCTGTTTTCTTTCCTTTTTTTTTTCAGTGGAGGTATTGGGCTTGAACTTGGGACCTCGTGCATACTAAGCAAGTGCTCTACCACTGAGCTATATCTACCTGCCCCCGCACCGCCGGGGCTCATGTGATGTCTTGGTAGGATGCACACTCATTTCTGTTGGGTCTGCACCAAGGGTGGACCTGCTGAGCAGAGCGTGAGCATCTGTTGGGCTTTCCTGGACACTGCCAAATGCTTTTCCAAGGTGTGCGCCACCAATCTCCCCATTCTTGAGAAGGAAAGCCCTGGGCAGAAAGGACTCAGCTTCCCAGCCTATTTACCCCCTATCTGCCTTGCGTCCGTGCCCTCCCACAGCTCCTAGATTCTGAGTTCCAAGTTTGTGACTGCCCCTCATACTCCTGTCACATCCACAACCTCCAAGTGGCTGTGTGCTGGGCACCATGCTGACCCAGAGGCCCCACTGAGCCAGGTAAGGTCCTAATCAAGAGCTCACAGGCGCCGAGGCAAGCAAGCAAGCCATCAGCCACAAAGGGCGTACTGTGGTCAATGCCAGGTCTGACATACACGCCCCCAGGGTCACCAGGCCCACACCTCTGTGTCAGAGACGGCAGCATCAATTTGGGCAGTGTCCCGAAGCATCCAGTGCCCTTTCCCCTTGTGCTAACGTCAGCTTCTTGGAGACCACCCCTCCCCTATTCATGTGGACCGGCCTGAATCCATTTCTATTGCATCCACAGGATCCTGGCTGATCCTGAAGTCTCTTCAGGAGGTGACAGCCAAACTGGGTCTTGAGGGATGAAGAGGAGTTGGCAGGTGAGGGATGGGAGGAAAAGTGTCAGGCAGAAGGAACCACACCTGCAAAGGCGAAGAGGCGAGAATCAACCTAGAACAATGGGGGAAATGCAATTCTCTCCACATCCTGGGAAATGAAGTGAGAATAAGCACCAGGTCCTGGAGGGTGGGGCTGTGGGGCTGGGGATGTGGGATTTCCTCCTAAATGGTAACCCAGAGTTGTTGCAGGATTTAAGATGAACGATTGCTCAGATTTTCACCTTGGAAAGCTTACTCTGGCCAGATGGAGGCCGGAGACCCGCCAAGAGGCAGTTGGGAGGGAGGGGAGCCAGGTGGAGTAGCATGGAGGGGAGAGGTCTAACAACAGGAACCAGGCTGAGGAAGGACCCTCCAGACCCAGTTCACAGCAGAGCTGAGCTGGCAGCCATGCCTCAGGTTCAGTGAGCTGTGGCCTTTCTGGAAAGTTCCCAGCTCTGCCCTGCCCCCAGATCCCTTTCAACCTCCCTCCCCGACGAGGAGAATCAGCTGCTGCCCGTCCCCTGGGACAACAAAGAGTAGCACTTGGTCCTAATCTCCAGAACCTGTAAATGATACCTTATAGGCCAGAGACTTTGCAGATATGACTAAATTAAGGACCTTGAGATGGGGAGATTATCCTGGTGGGCCTGATGTAATCAGATGACATGAAGACAGAAGCAGAGACATTTGAAGGTGCTACACTGCTGACTTTGAAGTTGGGGTGGGGAGTAGGGCAGCTTCTAGAAGCTATTAGAGGTTAGGAACAGATTCTCCCTGGGAGCCTCCAGGAGGAACCAGCCCTATCGGCATCTTGATTTTAACCTAATGAGACTCATTTCAGACTTTTGACCTCCAGAAATGTGAGACAATACATTTGTGTTGCTTTTAAGCTACTAAATTTGGAGCAATTTGTTCCAGCAGAACTAAGAAACTCATCCATACACCAGGGTAACAGAAGCAGAGGGTCTGCATCAATGGGTGAGGACTGTCCTTCTCTACGCGACCCCAGTACTCTGCCCTGCCCATCTGGCCTCTCCTAGGCAACCGCAGCGCCCTCTACCTTCTCTCTGTGGGGGCGTGGCTTAAGCAGATTTCTCAGTGTATTCTTGTCTTTTGTCCTTGCACAACTTCAATCCATTAAAATAGAAGAGAAAGGTGTGATTTTGAAATGAGCACAACTTTTGAGTGGCGGGGGTGAGGGTGAGAAGGGTGTTCTTGGCAGAGGAGCACAGATGAGTCAGTGGCTATCTGGGCTGTTAAAAGGCCCAGATGAGCAAACAGCAGACTCTGCTGAAGGTAAATAATTTCCCAAATGAATATTCTACTTTTAATTCAAAGGGAAGCTGCCTGCTTTAAATGTCAAGATGTCCAATGTACATACAAATATGATCATAATTTTAGGAAAACTTCTCAATCCAAATTTGTGATTTACAAAAATGGTACAAAAAGCTGTCAGGCCCAAGAATCATTAGTTTCCTTGTTCTGACCACAGCTGTGTACAGGAACAGGATCAGCTCAGTACCCTGTGGATAGAAACAGGGCAATAGCCAGTCTCTTGCCCAAAGGACGACCTAAAACTCCCTTTCTTCTTCCGTCCCATTTTGACATAATAATTTTCTGAGTTTGAGCTGCTGTAGTCTGTGCTGAGAAGTTAATTAGCAGAGGTTTGTAGTTTTCCTTATTAAGTTAATTGAAAAGAAAAGTCTGTATAACAGGAAATAATAAATGAGCCATAGTCGGAATTATGTTTTGACATTTTGAAATAAACATTAAGCATCGTTGTTGACAGACTCGTATTTAACCTTTAAGTGTCATAAAAATGTGAAAAGAGTTGGGATTCATGGGAATAACCGTTCCCATGTCAGTGGAGTGTCCAGGCAAGGCATGTGGCTTCTCTGATCTCCACAACCATCATGCAGAGAACACATTCCTTCCTCACACGAAGCTGAGGGACTCAGAGGTTAAGAAATTTGCCTAAGGTCTCACAGATGGGACAAGAGTTTGACTGCCATGTGTTTCTTTCCAAATCAATTCCTTTTTCATATACCTTATTGTCTTCCCACTTATATACCAAGTTGTCTGAAAAGATAGATTATCAGGAAAAGAATGACAACTAGGCTGAAAACAGACTTATCACCAGCAATCATGGAAGCCAGAAGGTGGTGTAATAATGTTTTCAAAGTGCCATTTTTGTGAACTAAAGATACTACCAACAAATAAAAACAGAGAGTTTGCCATCAATAGATGCCGACCAAAGGAGGTTCTAAAGGATGTGATTCAGGAAGAAGAAAAACAATCCCATGAGAAAAGGTCTGAGATGGAAGGAGAAACAGTGGCCAAATGAATTGGTAAACATGTAATGCGGGTAAGCCCACACCAATACAGATTGGTTAAAATAGTAATGATACTGTTTATTTTGAAAGATTAAAAAAAAATTAAAGCTACAGCAATTTTATGTAGACACTGTAATTTGCTGACCCAGCATAAGATGGAAGAAAATGGACTGAAGTGTGCAAAAGTTACTGAAGCAAACAGGTCAGGTATTAAATTGTTGTCTCTGCTCCATACCACCCTCCTCTGTTTGGCTTTGTGTTCCCAGGGCTGGAATTCTGCAAATACTTCTGCTTTGTCAATAGGGTCCCTGTTTCGTTCTGCCAATAGAGGGCACTAGAGAGAGACTGCAAAGCTAGCAGAAGAAGAGGGGACTAACCCCTTCCTATCTGCTTCCTGTTCTGGTGAACTTTATCCCAGCAAAGCTTCTTCAGTCCAGCAACAGCAGTTCCTGCTCACAGCAGTGGTTGGATCCCATTTGCAGTTGTGAAAATTAATAAACAGTAACCTCATTTACAATAGACAGGAGGCCAGAAGCGGGAGCTCTCATGCCCTACCACCAGACCTCAAATATAGACCCAACAGAAAGAGAGGAACCTTGCATCTCTAATGGGAAGAAAGTTACTACTTACTACCCAGCAGGAGAAAGGAAGAATTTCTCCCTGCCGGGCAACAGCCCAACCAATGAGACACTGTCACAACTCAGCCAATGAGAAGTCGCTACACTTTGAGCTTGCAGTTTCCTCCAATTGACTCTTTATTTATAACAGCTTCTCCCAGCTTCCCCTTCTCCTCTATAAAAGAATACTCCTGTCCTTTGTTCTTGGCCTTGCCTATGATTGGCCATAGATTGCATGTCCTGAGTTGCAATTCTTTGCTGTTCCTGAATAAATCCATTTTGCTGGTAAAGTAACTGGCTGTTTGACTGTGTTAGGTCAACACAGTTTTTCCAACACTTGCAAACCAACTTCATCACGCCCTTGGTCTACCCCTCAGAGACACTGGTGTCTCTTACAGAGGTGCCCCTCAGAGGGGTGGTCCCAGGCCTAGAGGAAGACTTCCTCTGAGTTTCTAAGCTTTAATAATTTCAGCCTCTTCTCTTTGTTCCTTCAGCCCTGGGGGTGGTAGCTGCTTCTTGTAG